GACCACACATACAGAGTCTTCAAGACAGTGAACAGGAGTGCTGAGGTCTTCCCGTTTGCTGAGGATTACTCCATTTCTGGGCGGGAAGGCTCCCAGGTGTCCGTCTGGTGCAGCAATGACTATCTAGGAATGAGTCGGCACCCACGGGTCCTCAGCGCCATCAGGTAACAGGACCCAGCAAATATCATATAACTTTTTATCGACTCAAAATTTTAATCTATGCACTACTTGGTTTTGGACCACATATCTGCAGATACTGTTTGGATTTGAGTAATTAATTATCCTTATGCCGATACAAAGCAGTAGACTGGCTTGGGTAATCTTATGTTTAAATTGCATCATTCTTGCAAGAAGTGAAACCAAATAAACTCAAAGGACTCAAGAATTTGACGGAAAAACATAAGCATACTGGGCACAGTGTAGAAGATATGCGATTCACTTCAGTTTAATGCAGTTTTATTTATCTATTTTAAGGTATGGTTATAGAGAGAAAACCCCAACAATTAGAAGGCTCCCTTTGAGCAAGCATTTGGCAACAGTGGGAAAGAAAAACTCCATTTTAACAGGAAGAAACTGCCAGCAGAATCAGACTCCGAGATTTCCATTTGCAATGACTGGTAAATGGTGAGGGGCAGAAGACCGGCTGTAGAAGAGAGACAGAGATTAATAATAACTAAAGACTGAATGCAAAGTGGTGTGTAAACACACAGAGAGTGGAAAGAGGTGAGTGAAGAAGAAACACTCAGGGTCACCTGATCCACCCCGGACTATAAACTTTATCAAAAAGGAACATTTCAACCCTACTCTTAAAAACAGAGAGTGTGTCTGTCTCGCAAGTCGAAACAGGGAGCTGGTTTCATTGTTTTGTATCTGGGTTTGATGTTGTACCTTTTTGTTGTGGATGTCCACAGAGATGCTCTGGACAAGTATGGTGCAGGAGCTGGTGGGACGAGGAACATTTCAGGCACCAGCAACTTCCATGTGTCTCTGGAGAAGGAGCTTGCCGAGCTACACCAGAAAGATGCAGCGTTGGTCTTCTCCTCCTGCTTTGTGGCAAATGACTCCACCCTCTTCACTCTGGCTAAGATGCTGCCAGGTAAATAATTACCTCAACATTAAAATCAATGTTAACTATTTATTTAGCAGTTAGCAGTTGTTTTTTATTTGTTTAATTATCTATTCACTGTTTTGTACAGGGTGCGAGATCTACTCCGATGCTGGGAACCACGCATCCATGATTCAGGGCATCAGGAACAGCGGAGCCAAGCGTTTCATCTTCCGCCACAATGACAGTCGACACCTGGAGGAACTGCTCCAACGCTCAGACCCTACGACACCAAAAATAGTGGCGTTTGAGACTGTGCACTCAATGGACGGTGAGAACCACGAAGTCAAACGTTTGAAAAAGCACTTTTTGAAACGAGACTCTTATTTTTCCATTATCTCTTTCTCTCAAGCTGCTTCAGGGGGTCATCAGCTGGAATTATAATACCTTGAAGGAGTTCCCTTCTAAGCAGATGTTGGATGCACCTCCTTTAAAAAGTTCAACAATTATCACCAGTATAAGTTTAAAATGATATTTGATAAAGAGTATTGTATTGTTCTCAGCTCAGTTTTTTCAGCATATTACACCAGTGACAGCTCCATAAAGCACGAGCTGATCATACTTTTAAAAGCAAAAACTGATATTAACCATGTTTTTTAAATTCTTTTATGTGTTCTTTTATGATTTAAATATTTGTTTCCAAAATCTTTGAGAATAACTCACCACATACTTCTTAATCACACATTTTGGATGCGGTGGTTGACAAATTAAGGGAAAAACACCCATCCTTTGACCCTCTACAGTTGAGGGATCCGGTGTCTCTTTTTCGTAAAGTTGCTGTAAGTGATTAATTAGTCTTTGCTTAAACATTTTTCTCCAAAAGGGAGTGACCTCTTTATCAATGAAAACTCCCCCGTCTACAGTGCACTAGTCACTGAATGGTTTTATGACTCTGAAGATTACATACCGGTAAGTCATAAACCATGGCCTTGAGATTCACCAGTTTTCAATCAAATTTAGCATCATTTGGGCTGACATGTTCTCCACCTCCATCATGAAAACACCAGATCAAGGATCAGCTATTGGAAAAGTTGTGCTTTTTCCTTCAGTATGTCACCTGTTTTAGATCTTAAATACTTGCTACTCTTATACCCTGTTGTTCACCTAAACACCGTTCTAATTTTTCAGGTGCCATATGTCCTCTGGAAGAGCTGTGCGATGTAGCCCATCGTTACGGAGCGCTGACATTTGTTGATGAGGTTCATGCCGTGGGCCTGTACGGAGCCCACGGAGCTGGAGTGGGCGAGAGAGACAACATTATGCACAAGATTGACATTGTTTCTGGAACCTTAGGTGAGTTATCCACTTCTTTCACACCAGCAGTTTTGTTCTTTCATCTTGAACATAAGCTCGGGGGCGATCGTGGCTCAAGAGTTGGGTGTTTGTCTTGTAATCGGAAGGTTGCCGGTTCAAGCCCCGGCTCAGACAGCCTTGGTTGTTGTGTCCTTGGGCAAGACACTTCACCTACTGCCTACTGGTGTTGGCCAGAGGGGCCGATGGCGCGATATGGCAGCCTCGCCTCTGTCAGTCTGCCCCAGGGCAGCTGTGGCTACAACTGTAGCTTGCCTTCACCAGTGTATGAATGTGAGAGTGAATGAATAGTGGTATTGTAAAGCGCTTTGAGGGGTCCCGAAATATAAATGCAATCCATTATTATTATTATTATTATTAAGCGGGACAAGTTAAACAGCTTCAAACTCTCACAGGCTCTGCTACTGGCCCAACTCCCATTTACAGCCTCTGCTGCAGTAACTGTCACTGTCGCATTGCCAACAAAGGAGCAATAACTTTTAACAGGCATGATACTGCGCCCCTGTTGGTTCAATAAGGTCAGGAGAGAAGTGAGCTCTCATCACAGGAAGCAGAGGTTTTATCAGCTGAGCGTCAGTTCTACTCCCTCTCTGGCTGTTTTGATAAAACTGTCCACAGGCAGACTGCGTGGTGTGAAACTTGATGCAAGGCTTTTGGTAGAAATCCTTGTGAATTAATCCTGGATTACAACATCAGACTTTTTCAAAGTCTGGTTACAACAGTTCACATGACAGTAAATGAAAAGAATAATGATGAAACTTAACTAAGAAACTGATACAAATTGACTTGGGAGTGTTTTAGCTGGTGTATTGGAAATATTAAAATTCATTTGATTCAGACTTAATACATTTTGTGTAAATTTTTTATGCATTCTGCTTTTTTCAATGTTTATATATTGATGTCACAATAATCATATTTTTACAATAAAAATGTAAATAACTTTAAAAAAAATTTACACCTGTGAAATGTATTAATGTAGAAATAATAAAGTTATACAAAATGGCAATGTAAGAAAAAAAAAGTATGTCATTTTTATTTACACTTAATAAATGCTCTCCTCACCACTTTACATAGAATCTGTCATTTGTCACTATTTCAGGTAAAGCCTTTGGCTGTGTGGGAGGCTACATCGCCAGCAGCGCTGCCCTGGTGGACACAGTGCGCTCCTACGCAGCCGGCTTCATCTTCACAACGGCCCTTCCCCCGATGGTCCTGGCCGGAGCGCTGGAGTCTGTGCGGGTCTTGAAGAGTGAAGAGGGGCAGGCGCTCCGCAGAGCCCACCAGAGGAATGTCAAACACATGAGGCAGCTGCTCATGGATAAAGGCCTACCGGTGGTCAACTGCCCCAGCCACATCATCCCCATTCGGGTAAAAAGATTTAGCACAGCTAAATGGACACTGGATTACAGCCACCGCTATTTCAGTATCACTTGTTAGTTAAACCTGATTTTCCTTATTATATATATTATAATACTTATTCGTTTTATAAACCTAGAAAGTACAATGTAGGTCAGATAAAGTCGGGAGGGTAACACAGACTTAGTTATAGTCTTTAATCGTGATTAAATTGCACAAATAAGTAAACAATTAAGTAAACTGAGTCTTAAAATTGTATAATAGGCTTGAACAACTGCATACCAGTTTATTTAATTAGTTTAGAATTTTTTATTATTTTTAACAGATTGAAATTTTGAGTAGAACTAACCAATTAAGCAGCCCATAATTATCCCAGAGATCTAATCTAGACTCCACAGGCTGAGTAAAATGATTCATCCATGTATGCACTACCTAACTGTGCAGAATAAAAGTTTCTCCTAAATGACACGTGCCATCTTTTATGATTTATTTTCCAGGTGGGCAACGCTGAGCTGAACACCAAGGTGTGTGACATCCTTCTGGAGAGGCACAACATCTATGTACAGGCCATCAACTACCCCACAGTGCCTCGTGGTGAGGAGCTGCTGAGACTGGCTCCATCTCCTCATCACAACCCCAAAATGATGGAGTACTTTGTGGGTGAGTGTGAGGCCACTTGCTGTAATTAGGTCAGAGGTGTTCTGCTAAATATCTGGCAAAATATGGGGATAATGGTCAGTGCAAATGCTTTCCCACAAGACATTGTGGCTCTCTTGACATTGACCTGCTCCCCTAAATGACCGTGCTCTATGGGGAGCTTAAAAAATGGCACGTGCTAGAATAATCCGACCAGAACTTTTAAACATTTTAAAAGAAAATAAATATCAACATTTAACTGTTTATTCTTACAAACACTTTTATCATTCACAGTGAAACTGGTGGATGTTTGGCAGGAAGCAGGTCTTCTGCTCAATGGCCCGGCGACCGCTTCCTGCACCTTCTGTGACCGCCCACTGCACTTTGACCTCATGAGTGAGTGGGAGAAGTCCTACTTTGGCAATATGGAACCACAATACATTACTGTGTATGCATAATACCACAGTGAATGTTTCATCTTAGCTACATGAGCAGTATATGCATAAATCTAATGCTATATACATCATACAATGCAAAAAGTCCAAGAGTAGAGGCACAGTGAAAACTACTTGTGTTTTGACATTATGTTTAATTATTCTCCAATGGCAGCAGTGTGAACTAAATTTCAGTATTTATAATCACATGTACTTCTGCGTGCTAAATTGTGTTTGCCACCATGGATATGATTAAAGATTTGTCTTCATTTGAAAAGCATAAAACCTGCACACTTGGCACTTTCTTATATCACTTATCTAGGTGTGACAGCATTGAACGCTGAATGATTTTGCTTATACATTATGATAGTATAGTTATTGTTTTTTGTGATTATCATATTAATTACATTGCTAATGTTTTATGTCATAAGTGTTTGTGGTGTTAAATATTAATTCACTTACTTCTCTTATAATAAATATTTTTGCTTTGATGTAATCATAAAGACACTGATGTTAATCCTGTAAGTTTAAACTGAACTTTGAGGGAATAATATGAACAGCAGCAATGTGTGCTCTGGAAGCACCAAACATCCCATGAAATTTAGGAAGCTGAGCATAACAAAATGATTGGGATTAGGTTTTTCTTTTCTTTGTTTCTAATTTTGAGGTAGGACATTGACCTGATTGGAGCTTTTGCGGCTCCACTGGAGATTCTGTGTCCAGTTCACAGTCAACACTAGTTCACGTTGCAAGGATTGGCCACTTCTCGTTTGACTTTTGCCCTCAGTCTGCGGAGCTCTGTGTTCTCACTGTCCAAAAGGAGGCCACATTCAATCAAGGTCCAAGCCTTACTGAGATGTTGCTCCCCATAATGCTGCAGCGCCCCCCGCAGGAAGCACTCAGCCAGAGGCAGTTTTCCTAGCCCAGCCTCCACACACTTGATGGCCTGTTCTCTGTTGAGCTCCAGGGCCCGGATGAAGTCCTCCAGAGCTGGCCCTTCTTTGGAGCAGAGCACCAGGCTGCGACCTCGCAAGCACAAATCCTCCACCCGGACTTGAGGGTGGTCTGAACAGCTGTAGTCAGGTCCATCGTGTTTCTGTATAACTCTGTCCAGATCAGATATAGCCCGCTCATGTAAGCCCAGCTGTGCCAGGCACACAGCCCGCTGGTGAAGATACTCCATTCTCTGACTGCCCCCTGATTGTACTGCCACAGTCAGGAGGGTGAGCGCCTGCTTCCACTGACCACATGATGACACACTGTTGGCCTCCTGAGCTGCTTCCTGTCCCAGTGTACATGTAGTTTAGAGTAGATATGTATCAGATTCACATTATTGACTTTGCCATCTAATTTAGGCATCTAAGATAGTCATTGTGAGATGGTGGACCCGCCACATGTTTGTACTGTATTTTACCATAAATGAAAATACATACATAGAATATATACATACAACTATAACACCCATTGGTTCAATAGAGAGAAATGATATGGGGTTTTTGTAATATCATGGAAATATCCTGACATAAACATTTTTTTTTTTTGATGAAAAATAACGCTGACAAAGCCAGAACAAACAACTTTGGCAGATCTGCTCATCTGGTACTAAATCTGGGTTTCCTGTACACTTACCTGTGCCATGCATTTCCGCTGATTAAATGGGATGAGAGCCAGCAAGAAGTCAAAATAGGATGAATCCTTCTCAGCCAGTTTGCTGAGCCTGCGAGCTGCGCTGCAGTACTTCTTCTGCCAGGCATCCACCACACCCACCCGAGCCTGGGCCACTGCATCTCTTGGCTCCTGGCCAAATATCTGGCACAGATGAGCGCCTGCTGATTTAACCTCACCTGGAGCAGATGGACCATAACAGAAGTATGGATTACTGAAAACAGGGGATGACAGGTGCAATAGTGCTTTTTGTCAAATTGGAAACGTCACACAGCCTAAGCCATAAGCTGCTAGGCAGATGATTTCCAATCCTAGCAAGGATCCGGCTCAGAAAATTTCCCCCACAATCTCACCTTTTGCCAAAAGGATGTCCACATAGAGCAGATGCCATCTGGGGTTTCTACAGTCAGCCCTCATCAAAGCTCCACCAATTATGAAAGCCTCTCTAAGCTGCTCTTCATGGCAGGGAACACCATGAGTGGCCACAATATCTGACAGATTGGTACGACAGAACTGATGCAGCCAATCACAGACCAGCTTCTGTGCCCTGTCCTTGAGTGAAAGAATGTCTTTGGTCACTATGTCAGCATTTATCTGAAGTGCTGCCAGGATATCATGAGTACATTCCTAGAGGGAGAACAGAGTTCAAATGTTATACTTTATTTCAACATGCAGTCCAACATGCATATCATACTTTTCATAATTTTTCTAGACCATGTTAATAAGTGTTAGCATAAGACTGGTATATTTATAAAGATCACAATTCTGTGGCACCCCTTTTTCAAACAGATTTCCCCAGAAAGCCACAAGGTGTCGCTTTATGTTTAGGGGAAAACTCAAATTAGGTTAAAGGCTCAATGATACGAAGAGAGAAAGTAGCCTTGGAAACCTTGGCATTAATTTTTATTCTTAATTCAACATTAGGGTCCCTGTGGGACATTTCACCGAAAGTGATTTTATTATTACAATATTATAAAACTGAAGCAATTTCTCTAAACACAGACTGATAAATTAACACTTTAATATCAAGGAGGCAAGGTGTAAGAGTAATATGATATACGCTCTCCAGGCTACACCAAAAGGGCTATAAACTAGCTACCACTGTTACATTTAGTCAGGTCCTGGGTTCATTTTCTGCAATTACTGAAAATAAATACTGAAAATGTCTTTTAAGAGACATTTCTCAGGTCCACCAGAAGAAAAAAAACATATGTGGTGAGGCTTTATCCCATTATATAATTGTACAGGGAGTGCAGAATTATTAGGCAAATGAGTATTTTGTCCACATCATCCTCTTCATGCATGTTGTCTTACTCCAAGCTGTATAGGCTCGAAAGCCTACTACCAATTAAGCATATTAGGTGATGTGCATCTCTGTAATGAGAAGGGGTGTGGTCTAATGACATCAACACCCTATATCAGGTGTGCATAATTATTAGGCAACGTCCTTTCCTTTGGCAAAATGGGTCAAAAGAAGGACTTGACAGGCTCAGAAAAGTCAAAATAGTGAGATATCTTGCAGAGGGATGCAGCAGTCTCAAAATTGCAAAGCTTCTGAAGCGTGATCATCGAAATGTCTGTGAAGGTTCTCAGTCATCCAGGTCATCGTAGTCAAAGGAGCTTGCAAAGAAAAGCGTCTGGCGTGATCATCGAACAATCAAGCGTTTCATTCAAAATAGTCAACAGGGTCGCAAGAAGCGTGTGGAAAAACCAAGGCGCAAAATAACTGCCCATGAACTGAGAAAAGTCAAGCGTGCAGCTGCCAAGATGCCACTTGCCACCAGTTTGGCCATATTTCAGAGCTGCAACATCACTGGAGTGCCCAAAAGCACAAGGTGTGCAATACTCAGAGACATGGCCAAGGTAAGAAAGGCTGAAAGACGACCACCACTGAACAAGACACACAAGCTGAAACGTCAAGACTGGGCCAAGAAACATCTCAAGACTGGTTTTTCTAAGGTTTTATGGACTGATGAAATGAGAGTGAGTCTTGATGGGCCAGATGGATGGGCCCGTGGCTGGATTGGTAAAGGGCAGAGAGCTCCAGTCCGACTCAGACGCCTTTTCGGGTTGAGGATGGAGTCGAGCTCAACTCCCAGTCCTACTGCCAGTTTCTGGAAGACACCTTCTTCAAGCAGTGGTACAGGAAGAAGTCTGCATCCTTCAAGAAAAACATGATCTTCATGCAGGACAATGCTCCATCACACGCGTCCAAGTACTCCACAGCGTGGCTGGCAAGAAAGGGTATAAAAGAAGAAAAACTAATGACATGGCCTCCTTGTTCACCTGATCTGAACCCCATTGAGAACCTGTGGTCCATCATCAAATGTGAGATTTACAAGGAGGGAAAACAGTACACCTCTCTGAACAGTGTCTGGGAGGCTGTGGTTGCTGCTGCACGCAATGTTGATGGTGAACAGATCAAAACACTGACAGAATCCATGGATGGCAGGCTTTTGAGTGTCCTTGCAAAGAAAGGTGGCTATATTGGTCACTGATTTGTTTTTGTTTTGTTTTTGAATGTCAGAAATGTATATTTGTGAATGTGGAGATGTTATATTGGTTTCACTGGTAAAAATAAATAATTGAAATGGGTATATATTTGTTTTTTGTTAAGTTGCCTAATAATTATGCACAGTAATAGTCACCTGCACACACAGATATCCCCCTAAAATAGCTAAAACTAAAAACAAACTAAAAACTACTTCCAAAAATATTCAGCTTTGATATTAATGAGTTTTTTGGGTTCATTGAGAACATGGTTGTTGTTCAATAATAAAATTATTCCTCAAAAATACAACTTGCCTAATAATTCTGCACTCCCTGTATGTTTTAAAGCTATGATTGTTGCTTAAATTATTCGAATGCTTAAATTCCTGTTATCAGGAAAGCCCAGAGGAGAACATTTTATTTAATAATTGTACAATAATTTAGTTTGACTTAATAGTAAGGAATCTCAGGTTGTTTTACTCTACAGCTGTTTCACAAGCAACATATCAGTCAAGCACTTAGCTGTAACCACCTGAACAAAAAGGGCAATAGTATCGAGTTTCAATGATAGATAAGACTAGAGGGGAAAAAAAAACCTTTTGTTGATTCAGCATGAGATATGTGAAACCTCTTCCACAGAGGGCATGCACGTGTTTCGGATGCTCCTTCAGAATGGCACTGAAGTCAAATATGGCTGTTTTTCGCTGACCCAGCAAAGCGTAGCACCTCGCTCTTTCTAGTAGTGATTCAGCTGCCTCACCACCTGAGAAAAACAATGAATTGACTGTTTTTATATGTATGTGTAATCTCATTTTAGTGTCAGTTTCAATATTTGCATAAAATAAATCATAGATTCAAATACACACAGTAGAAGTGCTTTATATAGGCTGGTTTCAGGTCTTATGTTTAACCACAAAAGATGTGTGGTTAAATAATGCATGGCTAATCTACCTACGGATGAGGACACAATGCTCAATTCATTCATTTCTCCCAATGATATTTAAAATTTCAGTTAAAATTATTTCTATTTGGACACAATAACAGAATTATTTCAGAAAGAAACAAGAATTACCACAGTCAATATAATTAGCCCCCTTAAAAACTCAAAGCCCAAACCACTGATGTGATTTAATGTAGTTTAACATTGTAATGCTCAAGGCTTGTAAAAATGGCAAACAGTATAAAAACTTCAGCAAGACTTTGAGCTGTCACTTGAAAAACCATCATGCCAAAAACACAAAAATCAGTTTAGCTTGAGAAAAAAAATCTTGATGCGCATAAAGCAGGAGATGGAGTGGACTGGAGTGATAAGCATCATTAAGAAATTCTAAGAGAGCCACACAATACAGAACAAGCCTGGTAGAGGTAGGAAGCAAACGATTTCAATGACTCTGGAAAGAAAACTACTGAGAGAGATATGTAAAGACACTCGTGAATGACTTAGCCAAGTTGGGAAATGTAGTCTCAAAAAAGACAGTCACTGCAGCCCTGCACAGGAATAGACTGCAAGAAAAACTCCACCACTGCAGAAGAGACACTTTCAAATAAGACTGTAGTATACTAAAGACACCCTGCAGAAAGAATATGCTGCCTGTAAACTAGAGCTCTTTGGCCAAAGAGACGCTGCTGTATAACCCAACGAACACTGTACCCACAGAAAAACACAGCGGTGGGAGTAATATGCTGTGGGGATGCTTCAGTGCGGCTTGAAATAGGAATCTCGTCACAGTGGAAGGAATCACAAACTAAGATGGATTTGTGAAGATTTTAAAAGAACACCTCAACCAATCAGCAGCAAAACTGGGTCTGGGTCATCACTTTGTCTGACATGATAACGACCCAAAATATATGGGACTCCAGGTGAAGAACTAATTCCAGGAGACCAAAGTGAATGTTATTGACTGGCTTGTAAAAAGCCCTGATTTGAGACTTGTTGAAAACTATAATAAACGACTACACACTACACAAAAATGATGCCCAACTAACTGTTAGCATCATGGAGGCTAATAATTTGACTCTGGCAGTTATTGTGAATAATTTCGTTTCTATGTCCAAAGTAAAAGACATCGCAAAAGTTCATCGTAATTTTTTTTTCTGCCATGTCCCTTGCGGGGCTCCGTAAAAATCAACTAATCATCCAAAATAAAAATAGGATGTTTGGAAAAGCTGTGTCAAAAAGTTGTCTCTCTGTTTACCGGCATCTGGAAATACTTTTTAAAAAATGACATTTTCATAGTGGGCGTAATTATTCTATCCTCATCTGTAATTTGTGTTATGTTCTGCAAGACATTTTAAAGTGAAATCTGAAAAAAAGCTTGGGTTCAATCATTACTCCAGTCTGCATGCAACAACCAACAATGTTAATACTATCAATAGTTAGCAACATATCAGTACCAAATATCAATAACTCATCAAACAGATTCTATTCACCAGAGGCCATAATTGCAATGGAGAGATATGCCACAGCCTCTCTGACAGCGCATTCCTCGCTTGCTTGGTCCAAAATGCGTTTTGCAGCTGAGTGGGAGTGTCCCTGCAGCAATGCTCTGTCTTTCTGTTGTGCCACTGCCAACAGGGGGCGCAAGCAGCTGGTATCACCACACAAGATGAGCTTTTTCAGCAGCTACAGGAAAAAATTGACAGACATGAAGAGTAAATCAGGACTATTCGGTGGTTAAAATCATTGTTAACATTTTTTTTAAACTCAAAGCTACACTTTTCAAAACAAAACTGTAGCTACCGCACACTGAAATCAGACATTTGGATGCTTATCAGGTAATTTTAGAAGTGAATTGATCGCTGAAGATTTTTTCACATTTGAGCCCTCATAGCTCCTTATATCATGAATGTAATTACTTTGAAGGTGCATCCAGAAATTATTCAAAGGAAACTAGTTAAATAAACAAAGGTGTTTCCCCAAAACTACTAATAATGAACTACACTCTGCTTTCACTCAGCTTCCTGCTTTATTTATATATGTTTTACAAAATAAGCAAGTGTGAAATTAGGTTTCCTAAACAGGAAACAAAAAATCCTGAATCCATTTAAACATGAAAAATTGGTACCTCAAACTTATATACCTGATTGGTGTCATAAAGAAAGCCTCTGTGCAGCTGCAGCAAAGCAAGGCGAGCCAAGATAGGTGCCCGAGGATTGGTGGGCCCGATGGACAGCAGCAATCGGTAAGCCTCCTCCACCCGACCAAGCTGGTACAAGGCATCTGCTGCCAAGATCTGAGGCCCATCGGCACTGGGCTGGAGCTCCATCAGCAACAGAGCAAGGGAATGGACACCAGCAGGAGTCCTAACGTACAAAGCAGAAAAAAAAAACACAACGGGACAACAATCACACTGAGAAAACACACAACAAAGACCATACCATGCAATAAAGTAGACTTTTCCTGCTGTGACATGCCAAAATATTTTATCTGAGAAAGCATTGCTCAGTAAACCATATCTAAAACAAACATACCTTGATCTGTGGTTGTCCCTCTTTGATAGGGTCTGCATATGTTCCTCCTTTTGGTGCTGTTGGGAGTCTTCACCAGAACTGGACTTGGGTTTGTGATCTCTAGACCCTTCAAGCATGAATCGTCCCTGCTCCAGCAGAACAGTAAACAGCAGCCCACGGTAGTTCCAGGGTACCAAGCAGCGCACAGCAAATGCTGTTTCCTGAGCATGCAGCCTGCTGGCTGTCACATAGTCTAAAGCAGTCAGGTAGTTTAAGCCACCCATCATTCGCAGGAGGCCCCTGCCACAAAGTGCTCGCACACAGCTGGATGGGTGGGGGGCATTGTGTTCAATCACAGCCTGAAAGTCTTCTAATGCACCCTTCTGGTCATCAGAGAGCAATCGTGCATATCCGCGAAGGACGTGGACCGTGCTTTGATAGCTCTGCTGACCTTGTGCGGCAGCTAGCTGGCTGCAGATAGAGAGGGCCTCTTTGTGCTCTCCTCTGAGGAGAAGACAATCAGCCAGTCGGACCCGCAACTCTCTGTCTCCCCCACCAGGTTCTAAATGGCACAGGGTCCGTAACTGAGTGATAACAGGGTCCAGAAGTTCAACTCCTTCAGTAGATCGCAGATCTGCCCGGACAAGGACCTGATCTCTGTAATCAGACAGGCCTCTCTCCGCCTGCTGACGGAGATGGTTGCAAGCTGCCACCCCAGTTCCCTGATCTTTGAACAGCTTTTGGAAGTAAATTCGGGCAGTGGCTGGGTGAGTCTCAAATGCTTTCCCCAAATCTGAGCACTCCTCTGCAATCTTTCCACCTGCTGAAAAGCAAGCAGCTGCTCGGCTTGTCAAGAGTCTGGCTGTCCTCTCAGGAGTTTCTTGGAGCAATTTTTCTATAGTACTCTCTGGTATTTTCTGGCCATGAGCATACTGCAAGAGGGAAGAGTATGCCTCTGCACTGTCCATAAACCTGCCCATCAAAAACAAATATGCTGCATTGAGTTCCTGTACTTCTTTGTTACTAGGTGAAATAGACAGCAAAAACTCAATAACAGTAGCAGAAGTTTCTTCTTCAAGCTTGTCATTGTCCTTTGTTCCTACTCTCCACTTGCTGTCAACTACCAGAGTGGGATGTATGAGCATGATTTGTTCTGCAAAGGCCTTCACTATTTTGGGTAAGTATCCCGCTTGTCTGCTCTTCACCAGTGTGACAGTTTCAGACTTGCTATTCCGGTAAGCTTTGAGGTAAATCTTTAGTCCCTTTAACCTGTGAGATTCTGATAACAAGCAGGCGAGGGCTCGAGTTATCTCTAACAAAACATGAGTTGAACCCTCTGGAGGAAGGTTCCGCTTCCCTTCAAGCATAGCAGTGCAACGAGCAAGAATTTCCTCACAGGCATGCGTGTCACTCTGAAGAAGAGATTCCATTTTGTAAATGGTGGCTAACAGATTGTTGGGACTGAGTGTGGAGAGGAAAACAGCAGCAAGACCTTTATTAAGACCCTCTGCAGGCTGATTCTTCACATGACTGTCAAGCCAGCCCTCTAGAGTAGCGATCACCAAATCCAGACCGGACTTATCCAGTTTTCTCATGTGGGACACCGCAGAGGTGGCGTGAGTCCTGAAGGCAGACATGTACAAGGAGGTGGCTCTCTCCAGCTCACCGCTCCGAAGGAACTTGTCTCCTTCCTTACATAGCTCTGAAATATTGACTCCAGGTCGAACCAAAGCAGTCATGATTGTTCAAATGGCTGGATTATTCATGGCTGTTGAAAGTAATTACAACATTGTAGTCTAATGGTTAACGGAGGAAATGAGGATAAAATATATCTGTCACATGTCAAAATGTAAAAAAAGAAAAAGAAGAAGAAGTAATAAAAACAAGCAAAAACAAGCACCTTTACTCTTCAACATAGAGTTCATAATTCCATCAATTTCAACAAGATCCCCAACACCATTATTTGAAATATAGCACCAAACCACGACAGAGCCTCCATCATGCTTTACAGAATGCTGTAGAGACTCATTGTTGTACTCTCTAGACCTCTTCTGCACATACTGACAAAGATTTGAACCAAAAGATTTGAAATTTGGATTGATCTTCTGATCTTCAGTCCAGTTCTTGTGTAATTTGCAATATCTCAGCCTTTTCTCCTAGTTTCCCTCGACAGCCTCCCATACACAAAAGCCATTTCTGATCAAGCTTTGATGAATAATATCATATGAACTGAAAAGCCAGATCCATCTCTCAGTTCCTGTGACAAATCTATGGTGGATTTTTCCCCCCTGTTTCTTAATTCTTATCTTCTTTCTTAAGATACTGTTCATCTCCTGTAATTCTTTTTAGACCTGCCACTTCTTCTTTTTTCCTACTACTAGTGCAGACTCCTGAGTTTTTTATTCAGGATATTTCACATAAATACAGATTATTCAGGATTTTAGGTAAGATATTGTTATACTGAGTTATACTGATTACTCAGTATGGAACATTTATGACATTTTCAACTAATAGATCTTTGAGAATCACAATTGTTGGTGCAAAAATACAATTGTTTTATTTTTGGTATTTTTAAAAATATATTTAACTAAAGAAAAACACATTATGTTTTATGACAGGCTGCTAGTAAAAAAAAAGACAAAATTGCTAATTTTTCTGTTATGTGTAGACACAACACTAGTTCAACTCTTGGGTTAGAAGACTTTTTATGCTTTTTATTGCATTGTTAAGTTGTTCAAAATAACCAAAACAAACAAAAAAATTATTTATCTGAAAATTATCAGGTACAAAAACTGGAGTGAAAAGGTGTGGAAAAAGTAGCCAACATCCAAAAAGAAAAAAACTTTGAAAGACCTTCAGAAAGCCTGGAGAACTATTCCTCAGTAACACTGTAAAAATGAAAAAAGAAAAAAAAAAGTCTCGTATGAAGGTAAGTATGTTGCTTAAATTTGTTACTTAGATGCCAAATTTAAAGACATAAGGAGTGGCTTGAAACTTTTGCACAGTGTTTTCTATTATTTATAACTATGTATTTGTATTGTTCTGACTTGATATTAGTTTGGTGAAATTTTACACACACACAAAATAAGATTATCATTGACAAAAGAAGAAAGACTTTATCTACTGCAAAGGGAACTGGTAAAATAAAATCGACTTGACTGGATTTGTACCAGTGGCTTTTATTGAGCCATTGTTAACCTACCTGTTACTGCGGCTTTTTTGACAACAACAGTAGGCTGAATCCCTCAAGACTTAAAAATGTCTTTAAAATTCTATTTCACGGGTAGCGTCAACTTATTGTCTTGAATTAGACGTCCCGACAAAAGAAAACTGTCCTCCATGTTTGTAATTCAATAGCTATCCAGGTCAACGCTCACAAAACAGAAGCCGCAGCGGAATTTTTTCAAGTGTGTAACAGGTGGCACTGAGACAGCATAATATATATTTATATAATAATAATAATAAGAAACCACACATACACAAACCACAAAAACCTTTTTGTCTCGACAAACTCCTCCAGGCTGTGTCGCGTCTCTTCTCAGGACGGGACGGTTTACGTCGCCACCTGTTGTTTTTGAGAATCCGGGTCCGGTTGCCAATAGAAACCATTAACCCTCGTGCTTACTTGAAAACCACAGAAAACGTAGGAAGCCTGCAGCTTCCTTATTGGCGACACTGCGTAAAATTGTTGATAAAAATCTCCTGCTCCTTCACGCTAACTCGGCGTTAGCGCTTAAAGATATGCTGCTGGGAGCACGAAAAACGGTGCGAAAGGGGGAAAAGATGTCATTTGGAAATACCTCCAAAGAGCCGTTCATTTTCCTACAGACATTTTAAGAGATTTTAAAAAAAAAAATGCTAAATCCGTCTTTAGTTAGCCTCTAAACTGTGCTGTAGCTGGTGCTCCCGGTGGTTAACTGTCTTTATTCGGTTCATTTATAGCACACGAAATGATTAAAAGAAAAGAAGAAATGACAAATCGAAAAGGTGTGGGTTGAAGCTACAGCGTATATAACACCTACCCATGATATAAAAGAAAAAGATCAAGACATAAGGAAAATTAAATTAACTTCATCTTTAACCTCTTATTAAAAAAAAAAATTAAAGCCACCCCATGCCAAAAAGTGATTTTCTGTGTTTATATTGATAAATATAAACTGATAAAAAGGCAGTAGTCAAGAGGATTTAAAAAGCCTTTATATATACATAAACTAAAGAAATGACCTGTTTTGCAAAGATCTTTATGACTGCTTTATTGTGCCTACTCTGTGTTCAACATTATCATCTGTCCAAATTTTTTTTTTTTGGACACTTAAAATATCTGCTGTGTTCAACTTCTTGCGGTTTCTACTGCCCACTTGGCCAAGTATGATGTGAAAATCACATTTCTAACTTCAATAAATCTTTTCACCTGGTTAAATAAGTACAAAACCTTTACCTTGTAAAAGAAGTGTTTCTTACTCTGCATAGCTTGTTATATGACGTGATATCATTTGCGAGATATAGGTGACAGTAAAGGCCAACAAGTCATTTAGAGCAGTTTCAGTTCTGGTAATCTTTCATTTATTTATTTATTTATTTATTTATTTATTTATTTATTTATTGAGAAATACTGGAAATCCCTTTTTTGGCAGGTGACACTGGTGTGGTTAAAAACATGGCAAACACATGGTGATGTGCAGCCTGACAGCATATCTACATGACAGCAGAAGAATAATGCTATAAATTTAGAAGCTGCATGTAAACACATAAAGTGAATGTCGTCCTGTAAGGGATCTGTTATTTTTCCATCCAGTAACTATGAACAATATAAGGCAGCTGTTCTTTGTGCTTTTAGCCCAAATTTGCAATTCATGGGTGTAATCCAACTCAAGAATAAAAGCTCTTCAAGTACTGTGCTCCTATTTTCTTTGTAGGTGGGGTGTGTGTGCGCTTACAAATGCACACCAGCTGCTGCGGTTCAAACATACAGTCCATACTCCCACCTTGTGGCCAAACATTTTATTCATGACATATACATATACAGGTGACATTTTGATTTGGGGTTTTACAGTAGCACGTTTTCATAACAGTGTACCACTAAAGACCACAATGAGATGAAAAACATTAAGATTTTCACTTTCAGTTTATTCTGCACCACACAAATATTCATACAAATGGATCATAAATAAAAAAAATAATTATACTTTAACCTGTAAAACATATACAAATATTTATATCTCAGGGAAAGTGGCCTACATTCCCATTAAAATTTTCTTAAATAAACATCTTAAATGGGAAAATCCAAGACCTTTACTGTCAATGAAGTATAATGACACACACACATAGACACACAAAAAAACCTCTCAAAGTGAGATACCCAAACACCACAAGTGAGAACCATCCGTTCAAATGGAATATGTGTGGTGAGGAAAAACCCAGCATGCTGAACACTGACACCATTTAGTTGCAGGAAACTGAAAAACTGACGTCCTTTGGGGATTTCAGTTTTCTTCCTCTGCGAGAGTGCACAATAACAATCAGTGGCTGAGTTGTTATACCAAACGAGGGAGACGTCTGCAGCTGTGCTGCACAAACATCCCAGATGTGCACGGAGTGATCACGCACACGCACAGTTTAAAGATTCAGACTGAAAAAGTCTGTCCTTTGACAAGTCAAAAGGGGAAAAAAACAGAGAAATCTCAAGCACAGACTTGTGGAGGTAAAACAATCACGTACACTACACTAAGGAAGTGCAACTTCCTTGCTTACCCTTTAAGCACAAACACCTCCCAGTTATGCATGTACATTGCAGTACTGCTGTAAAAACCGCAGCCTCCATTGTTGGCATTTAAGAGGCACCACACAAAAAACTGGAGGTTACATTGTTCTAAACAACTTTTGGCAGCAGCCATTAGTTAAGGGAAGGGGACTTCCCTCAATATTTTTTTATTTATTTACTGTCTCCACCTACTGTAAGCTACAAGAATATTATGAGTGTGTTAAGAGGTGTTATGCGGTTCCTAAAAATGCTAATGATGCTCTTGAGGAAGTAACCTGATGTTCGAAACTGCATTTTGCACTGCTACAAATCCATTATTTCATATGTTTACATTCAACATTTTAGGTTTCTGTCTTAACATGAAATAAGGGTCCCCTTTTTTTACATTCCAGTTTAACAGATGTTTTTATTTGGCTTTAATCTACGTCTGCATTACTCAGTACGGGATATTTACGACATTGTTCCAGGTTTCTAGGGTTGTACTATATGGCTACAGATCGTAATGTCCTTTCCAGCGAGTGTCTAATCTTTCACACCAGCGTCCATGGCTGAATAATTTATGTTTCCAGTCATGTTATAGATAGCATTACACTTGTGCCGCCAGGTACAGCCTCAGTTGTCCCACACTGCTCCATTCAAATGGCTGTGAGTGCCTGTCTCTGGTCAGGCGTCCACTGCAGCTGTTCCAGGCTTTCCTGGAGCATCTGTGCACAGCCGGATAATTCCATGTAGTGTAAGGCTGAGAAAATATCACTGAGTTTGGAGGAAGAGTGCTGGCTCCACAGCCTCAGCATCTGGTACTGCTTCTCCATGGAGCCGAGACTGAAACCAGTCTCCATCTCGACTCGTGCCATCTGCTGGTCAGTCACCTTAAGCAGACGCAAGAACTCCTTCCACCTATGCAAGGGCACCTCCTTGATGATCGCGTAGAGGACGATGGCCGGCCAGCGATCTGCGTGGTCATTTCGTCTGGCAACTGGAAGGAGAGAATAATTAACAGTCAGAGGACACAGGGCACTGAGCTGCTTGTTTTGCGTTAGTCTGAGGTTAAAATAATCTGTATTTATGTGAAATAGAGCATTTGCGCAGCAGTTCAACTCCTGTCTCAAACAAGTCAATTTTGCTGCTTCTAAGAGCTTCCTGTTTGTGACCACCCTGTTAGGATATCTGTGAGTCACTGTCGTCATCCATTTCCACGATTAGAGAAACTAATGTGAAATGATAAGCAGTGATAACAGCAAGTGTTTTTTAATGTTTTTTTCCCCTTACACTGGACTCACTGGTAAAAACTTTGGTCATGTTTAAGATCAGCATTGTTACAGTGTGCAGTACTGTGCAAATGTCTTGAGCCATCCATCATGGCTCAATATTTTGCAAAGAAAATAGCAAAGAGGTGCAAATATCCACAGAAATGCATTAAATAAGGGCAAAACAGAGTTAATTTGTTCTAATGAGCTTGAAAGTCAAGATTTTGTGTGACCACCTATATTATCTAACACAGCCTGAACTCTCTTAGGTATTCTTTACTGCACTTTCCTTAACTAGTCTTTAGGAATAGTTCCCCAGGCTTCTTGGAGCACATTTAAAGCTTTTCATTGGCTGCTTTTCATTCCGTTCTCTGTCACTGCTTCAATAACTTTGATGTTCAGGCTCTAGGAAAGCCGATCCATGACCGATAGCCTTCTACTACGTGTTTTTCTATCCAGTATGCCTTTATTGCACTAACAGCGTGTTAAGCTGCGTGGACAACAACTGAAAAAAAAAACAATTTTTTTTGCTACGTTTTTTTTGTCTCTAATGTGTTAACTCAACACTGATTCATTCCTTGAGTGAGGTGTCTTTTTTATGCTTGAGTGAGTCATAGGTCAGTGTGAAGTGGCAAAATAAACAAACCAAAAAAAAATCGTCGGAAAATGATCAGAGTGAGAATGAGTGAAAAAGCAGCCAATGGCCAAAGACAGAACTTTGAAAGACCTTCAGAAAGCCTGAAGAACTACTGGTCAAGACTGCTTTAAAAGTCTGGCTCCTTGGAAGCAAGTATATAAAGAAATTAGGCATAATTCAAGACTTTAACTGATGATTTGTATATACTGACTCTAATAGAAAGCTTTTTTTAATGATTCAGTGTACACCTTGTAACAGTCACAATTGTGTGGTGTCTCTTTAAGACAATTTAAGTTAATGGTTAGTGATGTCACAAGTATGCGTCACTGCTCTCTGTACAGTGTGGGAGAAACGTGCTTGCGCATGGATGTATGGACTGACACGGACCTCATATATTTACCTTCCTAATTCAAAGTAATGTCACAGGTTGTAGGAACACTGTGTTTCATGTATGACAAGGCAGCAGCTGTTCAACCGGGCCTTGTAAGGTAGGTGATGTGTGTGTCAATTAAAGGACACCACTGTGGAATTCCCAGTACCAGTGTGGTTGTGAGTTTTTGACTATCCTGAGTGTTTTCTGCCGCCTCCTCTCAACCACTGAATACAACCCACGTTATAACCTCCAACCAGCATTATGGTATATTCTGAAAAACTAATTAATTAATAAAGTAATTACTAATTAAGTAATTCAGAAGATATACAGAGAAATTTGACCACATTATATCAGCACTGGTCTGCTAAGTGGAAAAGCTTTCTCACTTTGTAATAACAGGACAACAACAGTCAAGAGACGTAATGATACAGAATACACAACGCAAATAAAAGTCCCATCTCAAGCTTATGAAGAGGAGAACAGAGCATAATCCTCACCCCAGTTCAAACAGCACAAAACTAAAAACAGGTTTTGATCTTAGCCGTGAATGCCAACAACAACATGACCTCACTAATAACTGCAGTTGTATTTAAAGCACACCTACAGGCTTGAAAGGCTTACATTGAATATCAGGAGTTTACCATATGACACAGTTAACAGGCACATGTGTTCACTATCTGACTTGCCATTTGACTTAATGTCACATTGCTGACTGATGCGAACGAGTAAGAACGCTGTATTTCCTAGTTTCCACCTCCACAGATGTGGTTCTGATAAACACTATGGTGAACAAGAAGAGATGAAAAAGTAAAAACAACAGCACTTATAGATAGTATACCGCGCTTCTATCAGATGGAAGAAACTGCAACAGCAACATTTTTTAATTTTACTAATATAATTCAATTAAACAATTTAGCGGTAGCAAAATAGCGCTTCCTTTTAACAACACAAGCAGACAAGCAGGTATTTGAAGGGGTAGCTATTCTCCTTAAAGCTTTAGAAATATTGCTCGTTTAATGTTGATGATATTTGATATTTTTAGTTTTTTAAAGTGTATGTCTTTTTCATTCATTGTAAAACAACTGAGAAATTTCCCGTGGTTTTATTCATCATACACTATAATCGTGGTATCATTATGTTTTGAAGGTAATCTGCTTGGATCACACTTTATCTGAAAGCATTTGTTAAATTGTGAAACAATGAAATTGAAAAAAAAAAGTATGCCAAATGCCACTTTCTCTGGCTATGACCTACTGTTTACCACCTATTTAGGTGCGTCATAAAAACATGTGTCACTGATCATAAATGCTAATAACCTTACTGGAAAACTCAATGCTGAACACTTCCTCTTCTACAACTTTTCTCGCAGTTTTCACATCACTTATCTCAAACATTTACAGCCAAGCTCATCACACCCTCCAGCATTCAATACCTAAGTCTCACTTCGGATGAAGTCCACAGTCATTTAAATGAGGGGAGAAAGTTGAAGCGCTACGAACAATAGGTTTCACCTCCTCTCTAAATTAACACATTTCTTAAGTAATTCAGTGCAGCAGCATGCACCATCTCTACTGCTCACCACAGAAATAAAAAAAATCACACTGTGGTGTAGAAGCAAATTCTTAAGCAACTACATTATTTACCCAGCTTGTGCTGATTGGCCTGTTTTAAACTCCTAAGTGACCAAAAGATAACTCAGCCTTATAGTGTGTACTGTATAGAACTCATTTTGACTTGTCCTGAAGGACGTGATGCAATGACCCTAATCTTCTATCCATCTATCTAAATCTATATCAATATATCTCTCTCTCTATATATATATATATCTATATGTATATAGGGAAAGAGAGAGATGTTTTTTTCCTGCCTACTTAAAGGATATAATATATACAGAAATGAATAAATGTTGAAAGTTGTTTATCCTTTTATGAGTCATTTTGTCTCTGAAAATATGGCAAAAGCTTCCTTTGCACTTCATGTGTAAAAATATCTATAACACCACTGAGTTTCATTTGGTATGTGGTGTTCTTCTTAGCTGATAATCCCATGATTCTAGTAACAAAACTAGTATTTTCTAGTAGTAGAAGTAGTAGCAGAAGAAATTATTTCCTGCTAAAATGTTGCAGATAAAGTCACATTTATCAGTTTTATATTGCCAGTTATGTCTTAAACCATAAATGGTTACATTTACCCTAAAGTGCAATACAATGGAAGCCTGTGCTGAAGGGCAGAGAAGGATTTCGTCTGTGAATATTTAATACCGAATGACAGAAAAAGAAATGCAGACGGTTTGATTGTTGGCTGTTCTTGAATTTGAGGTTTTTTATCCTTCTTCACTGAACTCCTATTAAAAGTAAGGAATATTTTAATCACTCCTTACATTGGGAATGAGGAAATGACTTTTGAGACTAAAATAAACTTTTCCGAGAATTCTGCAGGGGGTGTTTTTGTTTTGTTTTTTTAATTAGAAATCATCAACACATAATTTACAAAGTCCAGTATTTTGCATGTCGTGCATGTTAGCAAGAGATCAAATACTCAGATAGTCTTACCTATCTGGCCATTGACTGGCACGAGAGTGTTGATGTGGGTTGGATGTTCTGACATGGCTGGACTCTGATTGAGAGTCAACATGGGAGTTTCCTCAGAGAATGTAAGCGTCTTGAAAGAACAAACAAGACAGCATGAGTGCAAACTTTGAAGTGCATGACAGGGATGACCAAAACTTTCTGCCTTTCTTGTGTGCTAATTATAAGCTAATGAGCTAATTATCTTGATGAACTATGTACAAGAAATTCTCACTGTGCACCTACAGTAAGTGTTCCTGCCTAGATTGCTATCTTTAAAGAAAACGAAGTGCATGAAACTGAGCACAAACCAGTGTGGTCGGGTTACTGCCTTGATGACTGGGTTGTTCTGTTAAAAAGGAAAGGAGATATTATCATTGAGTTTCCTGTCTGTTAGTCAAGACATGTTCAGTCACTAAGGCACATTTTTAAAACAGAACAAAATATGGATATTCTTCTATTTAATGCACAACTGGACAGTACATTTCACATTGTGAGGAGTAAAATGAGAAAATTTGTCCTTGGTTGCGATGTGTCATAGTATCTTAACTTCCCAGAGGTCAAGTAATGTAAAGTGTAGTACTTTACATATTAGTACTTTACATGTAGTACTTTACATAACTTTGATATTAGCCATATGAAAACTACATGAATGTCCCCAGTCAATATCTACCAAACCGCTAAGTTTACTCTGTGTACTGTATATTAATGCTCAGTGGTAGTTGTAGAAATACTCTGATGAATAAAAGTGATTGTTCAATTCAAAGCACTTGAAAAATAGTAAAACCCTGCACTGAACAAAATACAATTAGGCAATAGAAAAAAAGGACTGACAAAAGTAACAAAAGTAACATTTAACCTTCAGGGTCAAATTTGTGCCATTACGTTTTAAAGAAGATAAAGTTACACAAATCTCATATGAAATGCAAATACTTCAAATGTGTACAACGCACAGGTACTTTATTGGATTTATTTACTGCAGATTACCGTTCTTGGAGACTTCAGCCTCTTTCCTCCTCCTCCAGCAAAAACTGTCTTTGTGTTTGAATATCTTCATGGTGCAGATCAGCAGGAACCATGAGAGCAACACAAAGCTAATCACAAGAATCGCAAGAAAAATTCCTGCATTCCCCGCTGTGGACACAAAGACACACTCCACATCAATAAGTTCTGACGTAAGCATATTATGTCTTTATCCTCCATGTAAATTGGATAACAATCAGAGGCTGCTAAACCTGCTAAATGTCATAGCAAGTGTGATACATTATAAAACTAAACTACAAAACCAAGGGCAGTAAGTTAATGTATCAAATGTGTTGTCAAAATATAAAATGAGCACTAACGGTTACGTGGAATTTCTGTTATATAAGGATCTGATGGATTCGTGAAAGCCTTGGATGTTGAAACAAGAGCTTTGTTTGGAAAGGGAGTTGAAGTTGAGGCTGGTGTAACAGTTGTAGACATCAATCCTGTCGTACGATTAAAACAAAGAAGCAAGTTTGGAATTACTTCTCAACATTAGTGGGTTATATAATGTGATGTAATCTTCTGGTATACATGGATAGACAACACAATGCGTTTGCATTAACATACTTTAAGAAAAATACAATTTTAAACTTTATTATTTATTATTCTTGGTGCTGGTGCATTTAGTAATCTGGCTCCGAGAGCCTCAGTTGTGTTTTTTAAGTAGTTGCAGATCAAATCTGAAGTACGGTCAGGAGGAATTTTTTCCATTCTTCTAAATAGAGCTGCTTTATCTCAGCAATATTTTTGGGGATGTGTGGACCAAAAAGCTTGAAAAGCAAACCCACAGTATCACATCTTGTTTTCAAATCTCCTTTTCCTAAAGATCTACTTGAATGCTTAGGGCTCATTGTTTTTGCTGGCTCTCCTAACCTTCAGAAGAAGTCAGTCAGACAAAATGACATACATAATTAAAGATTCACTTACTTTTGTTTGCCACTGTGGTTGGAGACACAACTGGAGTTGTAGATGGATTTGTCGAAGCTGCAGTATTCGTTGGCCTATAACATAAAAAAACAGTATAGAAATCATCTGACAACACATATTTATCCTGACATTAAAAGCTAATGAAGCACCAACACAGGCAGTTATTTCTCCTGTCGTGTGTAAAAATGCATTCCAACATTAATCTGAGGTCCAGATTCAGACTGCATAATTCAAATGAATATATCTGCAAAAGTCAGTCTGTTAGTTTAAGTTCTCCTCTGTGTGCTTGCTTGCAGTGACTTATAGAGAGACTAAAAAAAACTAATCAAAGATTTTTCCATTGAAGGTTGACGTTTTCTAGCAGCATTGGAAAAACATTCAAACATTTTGCAACTAGGATGATCAGACCCCAGTTTGAGGAAAGCAATAATTTTTGTGTGTGACTCTGTGGGGACATGTTAGCAATGTTTTGAGGTAGTCAGAAATTTTCATTACCAATAACAGGTTACTAGATTTTAGTTTATTATGTAGAGGCCAAATTAATGACATTTAAAAGTAACTTTTCCAACTTTTACAAGTAAATGTAAGGATAAAGGGAAGACGAAGCTATGTTCTTATCATGTACTCCTTATATGATCCCATATTTCTCTTTATGTTATTTGTTCTGTCTGTTTGCATTTCAGTAGTAGGGATGAACGTTGATTTTTGAGTGGGTTTTTTTTAGCTGACAATTCTATCATTGTCAGCTAATTGTCACTTCATGCTATATTTTTCCTAGTACGAACCTGAAGCATAATTATATCCAAAGAGGCAAAAACGCAAAGTGAAATAAACTTCCCTTTATTTTCTTTGTGGTTGTTTCAGTCTTTTCCACTAAAAGTCAGATGCCTTGTGACTTTTTGGTGGTGTCTTTCCCTGATGGGAGTAGCATTAGAAATTGAAAAATATTAAAAAGCCTTTCCTCCGTTTTTCACACAAGCTTAGTGAAAGCCAGACTTTTGCAAATCCTTTGCACTTGCACTTTCACTCAGTGCAAATGCAAATCCTGCAGAGTCAATTAATATGTGGGACATCGGGGACAAAGGACGGTCCCACATAATAAGAGACATCTTGTGACTCAATTTGTATCCTTAAAAAAGACATTATGGTACAGTGATCAGAAGAAATGGTTATAGAAATGTAAAGGTGGATGTCCAGGGGATCTGTCTATTCTTTAATACAAATGTGTAAAACTGGAAAACAGTGCTTGAAAAGCAACTCTAACCTGCCTATTATCAGGACTTTTGTCATCTGCAGGCATGTTATTTAGCACAGGTAGTCAAGGCCTCAGTCAAACCACAGGAAATATGGGAGGGGGAGAGAAATTTGTAACCATGTTTCCTCCATTCTAACAAAAAGACAACACGTCCCCTGCTGAAATCAGGCCATGTTTAACTCAACCACAAACATATTGCAGATCACATTTTAGTTAGCACTGACAAATAGTTGCCATTTATCTAGAGTAAGTTAGTGGCCCTCTAAACGTCACCAGAAGTTGATACACATTAAATGAACAAACATCACTGAACAAACACTGCAATTTTGGTGCATATCTGTAGACTGTATTCACATACAATACAGCGTAAGCTATCACCACAGTAAGTATATGTATTTTATATCATTGGCGCTTTCATTTGCAGTTCTGTGTTCTTGTCAGTCTGTCGCGAACAAAATTTAAGCACACTGTCTATGTTTTTTTGTTTATTTTCTGTTACATTGTAAAGTCTTCTACCTCCGGGGGTGTGGGCACTTCGTGTAGTAGTCAGCATTCCCTGAAAGGAACATAAGAGTAACTGTGAATGTAGGAATTTAAAGTGAGATTTTTATTATATTAGAAAATGAATCCGTTTGGCTGCAGTGAATATCAGTCTAATGCTTTAAAATCCTTTGAGGTTACTTACGTGGGCAGTGCGGGCAGGAACATATTGAACATTGCCGTGAATAAGATCCTGAATTGTAGTATCCCTCCATGCAGCCACACACTGTGCTCCTGTTAAAGGTGCAGGGCTCTATTACCACCTCATCATCTGGGGGAAAAGCAAAATACAGTGTTTCCATCTCAGTCCAAATAACTGAAAAACGCAGTCCCGATAAGGCCATGGGACCACATGTTGTTTTCTACTGTCACATTCTTTTCATCAATTAGCACATGAAATGATTTTTCCAAGTTCTGCTTCAATATTTTATGTGAAACTCAGTTGAAATGTAAACAGAAGGAATCAATATGTTAACGGCACGCTCAAACTGGTACGCACACAAATTCACGTGTTGTTGTTACAGTGCAAGTCTCCATGTAAAGTGAATACTCAAACTGGCACTGATGTTATTAGTGACATACAGTTACTATTATATTAGGATTTCCCACACTAAATATTTATTTCATTCCACTGCATCAAACTGGTTTAACAGAAATATTAGATCATTATAATTTGCTCATCATTAAAAGAGATCTTACATGCAGCGAAGAATAGCATTG